TTTTTTGACAGAATATTCATTAGTTGTGATTTATCTGCTTTTCGCAATTTTCCGTCTGATGTGAAAAGTGATAGAGGAACTGCACAAAATTCCTGGTGAAGCATTTTCTCCATAGCACTCGTCCAGATTCCTTTGTCGTTAAGAGACGACGGAAAAATTCGCGGTCCAATTTCCCGTTTGCCTTCGGATTATTTCTCTGTGTTTCAGATTTATATATATCGAGGTCATTGTTTTTTAGTTGTTTTTCGTACTGGTATTCTGAAAGCCTTTTGCTGGTATGAGACGAGTTTCTACAAACGATTTCATTTGTTCCAGCCCTTTCATCTTGGCAACATCTCCCGTGGCAATCTGGATGAGTTCACTCTGTGGACTGAATGCATCAAAGCATTGTACCTGTTCAGCTATTTTATTCATGTCAGACCTATCCCATACTAGTCGTGAAGGGCCACATATTTTGACATATATTCACTTTCATTGTCTTCCTGATTATTCCGAACAAGGAAAATGTATCCTCTGCTAGTCTAGCCTTTTGTTTGAAGGTAACTCCATCGATGTAAGGCAGAGGTATCTTGCGTAATGCCAATAAGACCTCCAGCAACTTTTCAAAGTGTGTTGAAATGTTCAAGACCTTGTCATGCGGAAGTTGATTGAATGTATGCTTTGTTCTTTTCACCACAAATTCACGCCTGAGAAATCCTCTGTATACCTCTGGTGCAGTTTTACTCAGTTGTTTCATCTCAGCGAGAAACACCGGTCCCCATCTGCTGTAGTTAATATGGTCATATATCGCGAACGACGGTAGCATTTCCGCAAATGACGAAAGATACAGATGCCAATCTCCACATCTCAGTGCTTCGTGTAAACCGAAGTAGGATGCAGACGAGTTTCATATACAGCCTCCACATCACCAAAGTCGGGTCATCGGAATGTGCATCATCGTATTTACTGACAAGACGAATGAGCTCTTCACACTTTGACACCAATATGTTCAAGGATTCAGGTTTGTTGTCATCGTCATTGTTCATGTCATGGATAACTTTCATCGAGAGAGCCATTAGTTCATCAACATCAATGTCTAGGTCAGATTATTCAGCACACGCCAGAAACTTGAAATCCAAGATGGCCGCCATCCTATGCTTTTCTAAGTGTTATAACTGGGTTCTCCACTATCCGAAATGTGGGTATAGACACCAACATTATGTCTCTACGACGTCTTGGAGTCTATAGTTATTCAAAATAAACAAATTTCACTGGCGGCGATCTTGAAATCCAATATGGCCGCCATCCTATGTTTCTCTGAGTGTGATAATTGGGTTCTCCACTATCGAAAATGTGGGTATAGCCACCAACATTATGTCTCTACGACATCTGGGAGTCCAGATATTTCAGAAAATTCATTTTCGCTGGCGGTCATTTTAGATTTCAAGATGGCCGCCACAATACGCAAAAGTCAGCCTGGAAACATACCCAGTGGAACTCCCCAAGTATCCTAGAAATGATATGTACCCGTTTCCAGCCTCTACCCAAAAAGTTTAGGGTTATGCTTATTTTCGATATCTGCCCCCTGACTATATTTTGAGATTTGAGCGTTCATGTCGCCTCCAATGATGACCATTGAGTGTAGCGGAATGTCTTCAACTGTGTTGCTTAGTTTTGAATATAAGTCATTAACGACATCATGTGGCATGCTGTTGTGCGGTGAGTAACAGGCAAGTATTACTGTTTTGGGATGCCCCCTAAACGTGGCAGAGACGATACGCTCATCTAACTTCTTAACTGAGAGAAGCAAAGGTAGCAGCTTCGAATCTATAGATATGCCCACCCCACGAATGGAGGCTCCACAGTCATTTCGAACGGCAGATGCAGTGGAGAGAGTTACCCGGCCAAGATCGCGAGCAACTATTTCCGGATCGGAGTCAGAATGTACAAAACGATGTTCTTGGATGCAGGTTACAGATATAGAATAGTCATTCATGAGTTTGTTGAGCTCAGTTTGAGAAGATGCGGAGCGTAGAGTTCTACAGTTGAGTGTAGCCACTTTATAAGACTGGCTAGGTCTGGAGAGGCCATACTTGTGTCGTTGACGATCGGAGCTCAGCTGCTCCGGAGAGTTTAGGTCTGGCTCGTCATTAGCTGCAGGAACAGCGTTACTTGACCGCGTGATTGGCCAATTAACAAGGGCTTTAACCTTGGTGCTGTAATTGAACTTCATCATGTTTTTTTTATTGGCTGAGTACGTATGCGGCTCGCCGCGCCTGCATACGTTTACGGTTCTCCGCTAACTGGAGCGATGCACCTTGGCGTTGTCATAAACTATGATCCTCCGCGAAGCTGCACTGTTTGCTTTGCCGAAACATCCGTCTGTCGATGATCGCCACAGGAACTACAACTACCTGTAAAGCTAGAGGGATTTTTTATCGAGGTTAAACTCCTCTAGATCCACCGTGTTCTGTCTATTGCCAAGCAATATTACCAGTGTCACCACGAGGAGGATGTGGCTATTTATACGCCACACACGCCCATACGCCCCATTACTTAGCTAAGATTAATTTGCTTAAACAGTATCTTTAGTAGGTTGTGTTTATTTTCATATTTAGTCTAGTTCGTATTGAGCTTCTAAGCAACTTTGAATCCTTACTGTGGTTATCACATATAGAGTATCTTGTTCTGCATTGCAGTCAATTCCCAGCATTAAGATTTCCATTTAGATCCCCGACCTCGCGAAGTTTTATCTTACCTTTATCTCTCAAGCTCAATTAACTTCTGCTTCGGTTATGCTGTGGGTTTTCGTGTAGTGTCAGTAGGTATATTTGATAGATAATAAATCAACTTGGTTTTGCGCAAGCAATAGTAGTAGATAATGAAATGATTAGAAAAATATGGGAATGGTCAGGAAAACTCTTCAAAATTCTTACGTTACACACAAAGTGTCTATTATATTTAAAGTTATTATTTTGAACAAATCTTGTGTTTTCCCCACTTTTACAACACGCCGTTATTGCTTGAGTAACAGCAACTGTCTAGAGTAGGATAACGATAAAATGTCTGAACATTTGTATTCAGCAAAATATGCACGTTAGAACTAGATTTGAAAACACACCCATTTTGCTGTAATCTTGGACAAGAGCAGTATATACACGGCTCTGTCTTGGACCAGCTAACAGTGCCACACCTATCGGTCATAGACATATACATCTCTTACAGAATTTTGAGATGGTTTTTGCTAGCAATTTTGTCACAGACAATATACAAGTTTACTCATTCTGACATTCTCACGGCACGATAGAATTTCAATGTGTTACTATGTGTTCATATTCATTTTTCTGTAATGCTATAACTGCTAAAAATCTTAGTGTTTTACAAGTTGGTGTAATCAGTGCTATATCGGCCCTGAGGTGAGAATATATTTCCCTATATTTTGTTAGGATTGTGGTGGATATGTTTGTTGGATTTAGGTTATTGTAAGATTGATATGCATGACTGAAATGATAAATCTGGTTTTGTGAATCTGTAGACAAAGGAAGTGGCTACTGAATTTAAGGAGAAGTTTGAGATGGTGAGGCATAGCCTGGATGTATCGCGCCAGCCAACATCACTTGAAGGTATTGTTTTAGTATCATGCACGTGGGTATCTGGCATAATGATACCTTCATGAAGCTGTGTGTCAACGTGTGAATGTGTGCGTTTGGGTGTGTTTGTATGCGTGTAGTAGTGAAGGAAAAATAATACAAAAAAACGTCAGCATATTCTGTACAAGTAAAGTGATTAAGGTACACTTTAACATCATTTCGACACTCATACGTACACCATTATATACACATTAACACATATGCACGCACACACGCACGCACGCACTCATGCACGCACACACATTTATATAAATATAAACACATTTATTCAGATTACAACATAATATGTTCATTGTTCTCCTATCTGCTATATATTGTGAAAAAAAATATTTTTAAACAGTTTTTTAAATGTGCTAAGTGAAGGGCTCCTTTTTGTGTCTATTGGCAGTTTATTCCATTGGTTTATTGCCTCCTTAGTGAGTGAGTTGTGTCCATACATATTATTTCCTGTTATCTGTTTTAATTTCAGTGTCCTTGAATTTAGTGTAATATTTGTCATGTAAGGTAGGGGCTTATTTCTGAGTGGTTTGTTAAGGTGGTGGATGTTTTTGTATATAAATATAAGTATGTGGTATTTAAATAGGTATTCGATTGGAGGCACTTTTAGTTGTTTTCTAGTTCTAGTAGCTGCTGCTCCTCCTTTCCTGTCTCTGTGATGTAGTCTTTTTCTGGGAATAACCTATTATAATGCGTAGAGCATAATATTGTAGTGTGTTTGGTCTACCTAGAACTGTTTTCTGGAGATTTATAAGCGGTTTTAGATCCATATATGAGGTGCGACAGGCAGAGTGATGAGTGTATTTGCAGCTTTGTATTTGTGTGTAGTTGACCCCGTATCTGTCTGAGGAAGCTAATACTTGTACTCATCTTGTCTACTATGTAGTCAGTATGGTCATTCCATGGTAAATGGTGATCTATTTTCATACCTACAAATTTTACTGTTTTCGATTGTGGTATCGAGTTGTTACTTTGTGGTAACAGCAGTTTTTACCAGCCCTTGCCATAATTTACCAGCCCTCAAAATATTGTTTTCAAAAACAGTTTCACTGACTCTTGCTTGTTCGAAAAATGTTGTAGTGTGATACACATCTTAAACTACCTGTGTGCCATTTTTTATACTTTTGTCAAAGAGTGCACAATTATATCCCTTAGCTGCTGTACTATCAAGAACGTTATTACACATATTAAAATATGCTGTAGTGTTATCAGGAGTGTATCAAAAGTTTTGATACACTCCTGGTGTTATTAGTATAGAAACTTCCGATTGTTGTTGTAACAGTCTCTTCACGGGTTGTTTTTGCTATGCCGGGAAAGTGAACAAATTCACTTTAGAACGTGTTTTGTTTTATTGATTAAAAATTAATTTTCTAGGTAGGGGTAGACTGTTACTGCGGAGGGAACAGATTCATAAGTTGGCCTGCAACCAGCTCGTTGTGTCTACCATGGAATTAAAACCAATGATGTCATCAGAAACAGCTTGGTGCTGGCATGCGTTGGATCACAGTGAAAGTGAACCAAGTCACAATAAATTTGCTATCAGGTTTAAGGTAAGTTATCATTATACATGCTTATTTATCATATCTCACAATAGTATGTAAAAATGGCAGATCATGTCAGTGACTTATCACTATTTTGCTCTATCCCTGAGGTATTGTGAAGACTGTTGTAACGTTGCACTCACTAGTATGCTTTTACTGCTATACTTCTGGGTTGAGAGCAACGATTTGGAACCATTCTAGAGCATCGACAATATCTACTGTTACGCCTATATCGTCATCCAGTCTGTATCTACTCTTGTTTTTTCAATTGATTAGCTTGATGCAATGTCTTTCTCTGTAGCAACTTTTTCTTATATATCTCAGTTGGCTCAAGATGTAGGGAGTTTTGGGCGAATATATAGGGAGAGATGTAATAGGAGGGGGATAGGGGGATTCTGGTTCTGGGGGCGAGAGGACGCGCACGCGCGACCGCGCGTGTGCGGCGTTCTTTGTTTGTTTGTGCGATTGACTGATGATGTGGCTACACAGTGTATGAGTATTAAAGATTGTACAGTTTACCACACAAGTTTGGATCTACTTCATCATTTCTACATGAACTCGCATCCCTGTTTACAGCAGGCAATCTTCTGTAGATGGATTAAGATGCATGTATTTCGTCTTATGTGCATTTATAAACAGGCCGACATCCTGGCAGGCCTTCTCAACTCTGATGAGAAGATCTTGTGCAGCTTCGATTGAATTTTCGAGAAGTGCTATATCATCAGCATAGTCGAGGTCAGCTAAGACTTCGGTAGGGTGGCGCCGGCTGCGACGTTGTTTCAGTGTAAGACCGTCGGATTCTGTGATCGATGTGCGCAATGCATAATCCAGGCAGATGATAAATAAAAATGGAGCGAGTGGGTCACCCTGAAGAACGCCTGTGTTGATGTTGAAAGCATCAGTCTCACCCTCTGGAGTGATTACTACAGCAGAGGTATTCTCGTACATGACTCGGACATGATCGCTACAACTACGTCAGGAGGGATACCGTACGCTTTGAGGATTTCAAACATTTTCTTTCGGTTGATGGAGTCGAATGCCTTTTAGAAGTCGATGAACGTTACTATGGCTTCCATGTCATGATTCTTCAGTTCTTCTACGATACGTCGAAGAGCAAGTATATGGGAGGTGGTGGAACAGCCTTGACGAAAACCATTCTGATTCGGACGCAGTACCTTGTCAATAACTGGACGGATTCTGTTGAGTAGACAGCTGTTATAAATTTTTAGCTCATCTGACATAGTCAGATGCAGCTTGTAGAATCGCATGATCGTCCGTCCGTACGGTCGTCCGTGCGTCCGTCCGTCAACAGTTGGGCACAAATCTTAACCGCTCGACGTACGGTCACGATATTCGGGACGTGGGTGGGTAATCCGAAAACGAGTTGGGATGTTGAAGCTGGGGGTCAAAGGTCAAAGGTCAAGAGGTGTAAAAGAAGGGGGAACATTCCTTCCCTCCTTAACTTAAAAGTATAGGGAGGAAATGCAGAATTGTGCGGGCACAAATCTAAACGGCTCGACCTAGGCTCGTGATAGCTCGGTGTATAGCATCATGGTAGGAAAAGCCATCACTCGTGCGAAATTGGAGGTCACATGTCAAAAAGGTCAATGGGCACAGGGCAGATTTTAGACATTTTCTGAAGGCATGGTCTGACGGAGCGATTGAAAAACTTTTTGTTTAGCGGTGACCTAGCATTTTTATGGCTTTATTGAAAGGACCATAATGTCCATAATTATTCAAGCGATTTCTGGAAAGAGACATTCCAAATGACAAAGATTGTGTTGTTTCGATGAAGTCAAGGAGAAGAAGGCCGTTGCGATTTTGATGTATTAGTCAGTGGGCAGATTTCAAAAAGAGTTAAAATGAGGATGACCCTAAACTTTTTGGGTAGAGGCTGAAACGGATAAATATCTTTCTAGGATACTTGGGTAGTTCCACTGGGTAGTTTCCAGGCTGACTTTTGCGTATTGTGGTGGGCTATCTTAAAATCCAAATGACCGCCAGCGAAAATGGATTTTCTGAAATATCTGGACTCCCAGACGTTGTAGAGACATGTTGGTGGCTACACCCACATTTTCGATGGTAGAGAACCCAATTATCATACTTAGAGAAACTTAGGATGGCGCCATATTGGATTTCAAGATCGCCGCCCAGTGAATTTGTTTATTTTGAATAACTAAACTCCAAGACTGACCATAATTTTGGTAATCTTGGTAGAAAACCATAGAATGGCGGCCATCTTGGATTTCAACATGGTGGTATGTTACTCAATTACTATACAACAGTCTAAGCCAACATAAAAACATATATAAGCATACCAGAATTGTTAGAATATGTAGTTTTAAAACAGCCACACCCCAAAGAATTGTTGTATGGGTTCATGCAGGCCATGTTGCATGTGCACCCACCGGTGCAGCACATATTGTTTTTGGTACATAGTACAGCTACGTCGTGCGGCAACAAGGTCCGTCCTTACTACAGCCACATGTCTTTATTGCAAATAGTATTGGCACGAAGTGGATTCAGTGTCATGAGGCTGTGGTTTCAGAATGCCATCGCTGCATATACCAACCGCAGTCAAAGTGCGAAGGAATGCTCTGAGTACTATCTACACACTGGTTCCAAATGAAGGCTCTGATAGTGGGCTCGATGACAATGTAGTATCAGTGCGTCTTTCGTTGGTGGCAAATAGTCAATATTTCGTCTTGCCAATTGGAAGAACTTCGACAAGCGAATATCCTGTATGTACCGGATGTTGTTGTTTGATTCATACAGTTTACATATAAAATGCTTCCACTGATGATAGCAATCTAGTGATAGTGGTACATTCTGTTCCAACCCATGAAATGCGCTCTGGATCTTCAACGAATACTTTCCATGCAGCGTTTTTAGAAATTCCTGCAAACTGACTCATCGTGTTACTTCTCGTTAGCAGCATGAAAACTACAATCCTTTTCGAGTGTTGTTGTTTATTGCAATGTCATGGACTCATCATCCGAGGAGATTTGAAGTCCTGCCTTCATCCAACCTGCGACAACTTTGCCGAAAACACTGTTTAGCATTATAACAACACTGTTAGCATCACTAACACATTGGTATCCCTGCAAACTACAATCGTTTGCTCATATCCATGGTCTGCAGCATCGCACGCATGAAGAACAATTCGCGTGTCAGCCTCGTGGTTTGCTGAAAGTGTTGACCACATCACTTCCTAGGAACATATGGTTTCGTTATTTCCGTAAACCCTCACTCACAATTATCTCTTTACCGCCAAGTTTCACTTAGAGATGATCAATTCCTCTGACAAGAAACGAGCAAGATCGCTTTGTTTCAGCGAGAGTGATTAAATGTCTTCCAGTCTGATGGAGTTTTTGTGTCTTACCTGTAATCAACCGCCTAATTTCTTTTGTCCTGATCGTCGTCTTCTCGTGTACTTCTTCAATACAATTCTCCTTGTATCGATCAATATAATATCTATCTTGTCTGAATTCTACCGTGTGACTTCACACAGTTCCCG